GTTGGCCCCTACATTTTTTACTGTATATATTTAAGGTGTACAACATGATGTTTTTATATACATATACATAGTGAAATGATTACTACATCAAGCAAATTAACATATCCATCACCTTCCATGATTATCTTTTTAATTTTTTTTGTGGTAAAGCACCTAAAATCTACTCTCTTTTTTCAGTATATAACACAATGTTATTAACTATAGTCCTCATGCTGTACATTAGATCTCAAAACTTATTCATCCTACGCAACTGCAAGTTTATACCCTCTGACCTACTTCTCCCCATTTCCTTTCCCCCCTCACCCCTGGTAACCACCATTCCACTCTTTGTTTCTATGCATTCAACATTTTTTTGAGATTTCACATATAAGTGAAATCATGCAGTATTTTTCTGTCTCTGGCTGGGTATATACCCAAAGGAAATGAAATTAGCACCTTGTAGAGATACCAGCACTCCCAGGTTCATTGTAGCCCTATTCACAACAGCCAAAATATGGAAACAACCAAAGTGTCCACTGATGGATGAATGAATTAAAAAACTGTGGTATATATACACAGTGGAATATTATTCAGGAGATACTGCCACTTGTGACAACATGGATGAACCTGGAGGACACTATGCTGACTGAAATAAGCCAGACAAAGAAAGAAATATGCTGGCCCCTACATATTTAAGCCAATGGGCTAACGCTAGCAATCGCCCACTTCCAGACTTTTTGGTGTGTGGGTGAGATAACTCCTATGTGTTTAGGCTACCAAGTTGAGGTTTTCTATTATTTGCAGCTGAAAACAATTCTAACTGCTAAGCCATACAAAAGTGTTTGGATTTTATCTGAGATAATGAGGATGCACTGAAGGAGTCTCAAAAATAAAAAGAGTTGCATCATCACACCTGCATTTTGGAAAGATCATTTTGCTACAAAATATAGACTGTGAAGCAAGACTGGAGGCAGGAAGACCATGGAAAATGCCGTAATGGCAAGGCAGGCAAAAACAGGCTGGGGCTTGAACCAATTCAATAATGGCGGGAATAAAGTGGAGGGGACACGTTTGAGGGACATTGAAAGGCTAAAATGGACCCACCCTACCCAGTTGGATATGAGCCGTGAAGAAGATGCATCAAAGGTTAAAGATCATATTTCTGGATTATATGATGTCTTAGATAGGTATGCAAAAGCAGGAGTATATTTAAAGTGAAGGACAATATTCCACTCTAGGCCAGGTTGAATTTGACATGCTTATAGTATATCCAAGTGGTAATTTTCAGAACACTTTGAAAAGGAAGGCAGAAAAGAGATGGGAGTAGTAATTGTCTAATTTATATATGATATAATTCAAAATTTAATATTATAATAAAATAACATACTTATTATGAAATAATATCAATGAATTATAGAATAATTAAAAAGACAGCTAAGCAAAAAGAAAAATAAAACATATAGGCACATACCTGTACAATGCTGGCGCCCAGATATAATTTGTAGTAAAATGTGGTTGCTTATACAGATGAGTATGCACACATAAATGGGATTATATTGTATGTAATGCATGGTAACAGACTTTATTCAGCCAACAGCATGGCATAAATATCTTTCTATTTCAATTAATATCCACCAATTTTTCTAATTTTTTTACTACTTGTATTATAAACAGTTTTGAGATGAATTATTTTCATAGTAAAATTTCTGCCTATATCTCTAATTATTTCCTTAGGAGAAATTTCTAGAAGTGGAATTTCTGGCTATATGTGTTTTTAAGGCTTTTGATAGATATGGTCAAATCATTCTCTAGAGAGGTTGTAGTGATTCACAATCCCATAAGCGCTGTGGGCAAATACTCATGTCCTCACACTTTCTCCAAGATAAAGTTATGTACTTAGTCACTTAAATCTTTGAGAAATTTATAAAATAAAAACATTAATCTCATTGCTGTTTCCATTTTGTGTTTGCTAGTATTTGAAATCTGTATGTTTTATTAATAATTTGTATTTTTTCTTTTTCAAACTGCTAATTCTTATACTTTGGCAACTTTTCTTTTGGGACACTTATTGATTTGTGAGGGCTCTTTATATGTTATAAACTTTAACCTTTCTTCATTAATGCTACATTTTTTTTCTTAGTTTGTCACTTGTCATTTACTTTTAGGGCTCATTTTGGTAAGCAGATATTTAAAATTATTGAAATGGTCAAGGTTTGAAATGACTGTTATGAAGAATGGGCACAAGACGTATCTAGAAGCAAAGAGAAAGATTAAAGCACTAAATGAGAGGCTCAGCTGAGACTGGAGACCATGAATTTCTAGCAGCTTCAAACTGCAAACTGTATTCCCAGTAACGCAATTGTGCTCAGAAGAAAAAAAAAAGCAACTGCAAACTATAGCAGCACTTGATAACCTGGGAGCAGAGGGAGTCTTAAGTCATCACATATCAACCCTGTGCAAGCTGATATGTGAAAGTAAAACCAGTCTCTGCCCAAAGGAAATCTAATCAGAACCTTAGTCCCTTCCTTTTTATATAACATCCAGAGACATCAGGCAAAAACAAAAGCAAAATATCAAAAAATTAAAAACTCTCTCAAGCAGCAGAGAAGGAGTTTGATCATTCAAACTACTGAGCATTTTCATGTATTTTTAAATGGCTCCTTTTATATGAACAGCATCTGTTTTCAAGAAATGATCTTGAGGAGAAATTCAGCCATCCTCCTATAGAGTTCAACTTTGAGCCAAGACAAGGGGCAAATATCAGACTCTCCCAGACACACATACCTTCTACCTCCATCTCTCCCACCTCACACAGCCCCCCAAACACAAAACACACACACACATACACACACACACACACACATACACACACACACACACACAGAAAGAGAGAGAGAGAAAGTGAGCAGGATACACTCAGCGTGAGGGTTTCCCCTACTATTTTTCTCAGAAACTGGACAAAATAATAAGGCAGTTGTGTGCATTAGCAAGCATGCTGCTGAAATAATGGACCACATGGATGGGACAAGAGGCAACCAATGCACTGGGAGAAAACAGGCGGAGTTAGAGCACAAGGAGTTGAAGAGTAGATACAGCAGAAGAAGAGTAGAGAACAGGAGAGAGCTACAAGATTAGGACATTTTCTACAGTTTTCTTTTATCATGCTTTTCTTCACTGCTTCCAATCCATTTATTCAATTTTCTTCTTTGAAAACAATGGTTATTTGTATCTGTTATATTGACCTTCATATTTTAAATTTTCTTTATGTATTTCATTTATAATCAGGAAGTATTCCCCACTGAATCAAGTCTATTTACTGGATCTAACAAATTTTATCTTAGCCACTCTATTTTCCATTTCCTTACCTTTTTAAAAATCTCAGCCCATACTTACTTAAAAGATCTTCCTTCATCCCAAGCAGTATTTAATTCAAGAGTATGGGGAAGGAAGGAGGAAGTTTGGAGAGGAGAGAAAAACAGGGCCTTGTACCCTTTTGGCCTTGACAAGATCACAAGACACATGGTCAGTAGAGACCACTCGATGAGTTACCACTTTCAATGGCCACATTCAGGGTCACGCTGGCTGAAATGGAAAACTGCCAGGCACCTCCTGTGCCGAGCAGAGCTCCAAAGTCCAATACTCTGTTTGCTCTCACCTGAGATATTTTCTTGCAACCACTGATTTGCACGTTTCCTTTGAAACCTTGGAAATTCCAGACCCTCTCTGCCACCTGCACTTCATTTGGGGCATATCTTCACTATCAAGTTAAGGGAATCATCATTCAATCACTTGTGCAAACATGATGCCAGAATTTCAAACATCTCTTTTCTAGCTTTAGTGTCCTTTCTACCCAATACAGCCTTGAAGACAGAGCAAAGGTAAGAGTCCTCTGATGTGCGGGTGCCCGGGAAGGAGGCCTCTGGACCTCCTTAAGGGAGGTGAGGAGCTGACTGATGACCTAGGCACTCACTGATCCAAGAAGGCAGAGCCCCAGACCTGAGGCACATGCAGATTACATGCTGCACCTTGCCAACCACAAAGGAGCCAGCCAGGTAAGCCTGGAGAGTCTCTCTTTCTGAAATCAGGCTGCACGCCATCCAAGATCCTCTCACAAAGAGAAGCTATGAGCTTCCTTGGCTCATGGAACCATCAATCTTGGCCTGGATTTGCCACTGTAAATAAAAAATGTCAGGTTTTGCATTTGAACTCTTAGGTCACCACGTATCAACCCTGCCTAGAGAATTAGAAAGTAAAACCAGCCCTTGCCCCAAAGAAATCTAATTGGAACCTCAGTCCTTTCCTTTTTATACAACATCCAGAGACATCAGGCAAAACAAAACAAAACAAAGTACCAAAAAAACCCTAAACCTCACTCAAACCACTGAGCATGTCATTTTTATCTATTTTAAAATGGGTTCTTTCATATGAACAAAATCTGTTTTCAAGAAATGATCTTGAGGAGAAAGTCAGCCATCTTCCTAAGAGTACAACATTACACCAAGGAAGGGGCAAATATCAGACTCCCCCAAACTCACAGACCTTCTGTCTCCATCTCTCCTATAGGCTATCAAACACCTCAGACAGCTCCTGAAACAGGGAGCACGCACACATACACACTCACACATGGGCAGCCTGTTTGGGGTTGGAACTGCATAGAAATAACCAGGATGGAGGCACGCCATCATCCCCCTCCATCCTCAGAGCTAATGCGCAATGACAGATGCCCACAGTAGCCCTGGGCTACTTCACTCACTCACTTGAGCTGAAAGGAAACCAAACATTTTCAGCAAGATAAAGCTCTCAGAACCCTTCATTTGCCAAATTAAAGAATGCCAAGCTTAACTCCCAACAAGAAGACCTTTCATCTCAAGACTGAGCACAGTAGAACACTCACTTCGATCACAGAGCGTTTCTCTCCTGAGTATAGGGCCAGAGATAGCCACCCAGGAGACAGCCCCGGACCCAGCCCAGGCCCCAAGCCCCAGGCCCCAGAGCTGGCCCAGCCAAGACCAGGTACCTACCCGCAACAAAGGAATAGGCCGCTAGGATGTTGCTGAGCAAAGCCATCTCCACGTGCTCTGTGCTGGGGCTGAGGGGCAGCCTTGTGTAGCATCCAGAGGAGACCTAGAGATGCTTCGGCTGAATCAACGTGGACACTCTCCCTCTCTTCTCTTCTGTTTGGGAACACAAAGGGGTTGATGAGACACATTCTGCTTTCCTGAGGCCATGTTCCAGGTAGCCTGGGCTTGTGAACAAAGAGCCAGTCTCCTGATGCCACTGAGCTTGCCAGTCAGGGACCACAAAGATCTGGGGTCTTGTCCTCTTTGCTCAAGCGAGCCTGTTGGTTTTCAAGGAAGCAGCAACTCTTTACATGTCTAATTTCCCTGGCCTTTCTCCTTTCTCTTCCCCGTCTCCCCACTTTAACACTCTCCCCTTACCTTTCCTGGTGTTCTTTATTGCAATCTCCCTGGTTCAACTTTGAGGCACAGCCCAGCGGGTCTAAATCACAAGTGTCCAAGCCACAGCCCTCTCCTCTCCTGCTCTGCTTTCCCGGGAGCCAGCACTGACGACACTTGTGTACCTTGATCAGTTTGCCTCATCCCTCAGGTCACCAAATGTGCGTCCTTGGCAGTGGGTCAGTGCTGGCTATCCCAGAACTGCCAAAATGGTTCCAGTTCTAATAAAATACCCACCAGAATTTGGTGGCTAAAGCCTGCTCCCTGCCCCCAATTCCATGACTACACCTGTGCCTGTGATGGGCCAAACACACACACACACACAGCCCACAGACTGCCCACCCACAGCAACATCCCTCCGGGGCCTTCTTTCTCGGTGTTCAGCAGCTCGGCCCCTGCCTGGAGGAACACATCCTCTCCCCAGCCGCTGCAGCAGCTCAGACCTGGCACCGTCATCGCCCAGTTCCCAGCAAAGGCTCAGAGCTCCTGCGCATGAGGTGGGAGAGAAATGGCAAAGACCCCAATGGCTCATGTTCAATGCTGTGGTGAATGGAGGATGGGGAACTGAGTCACGGTGTGCAGAGGGATGTCAGGTTGGGGAAATCTAGAGAAGCAGAAGGCTCTAGTCCTCTGGGAACGAACTTGGGCTCTCAGAGGGTCACGGATGTCAGTAACACAGAGCACAGAAGGCCTGGAGAGCTGCGATTCCACAAGGTGGATGGAGCGGGTTACGACAGAAAAGAACACTCTCACTCAAGGAGCAGCTGACCAACTCGCAGCTGAGAAGCAACAACCATAAGGTCCTTGGAGCAGTCAGAGGCCTTGGGAGTGGCAGGTCAGGGACTCTGAAAAGGGTTGGCTACTGTTGTGGGATCCCTGAGTCTCTAAGCCAGAGCACGGGGCCTCCTTTAGCAGCCATTTGAGTTCCTAAAATGTGACAAGTAGATGATACAGGTGAATGATTAGAACCACCATTAATCAAAGACCCTATTTCCGAGTGCTCATAAAATATTTTAATTTTATACTGGAGATTTCCAAACTGAAAAAGCACAGCTTTTAAAACCTATGACTTTGGAGTTGAGTTCTTTGCATATTTCTAAATGTTGAATATATTGTGATTCTAACTTAAAAAGTGTATACTATTTGACACAGAAATTTCATCTTTGATATTTTTCCTAACAGATAATTGAACTGGTATAATAAAGATAGGTTAAATATATTGACCTATCTTACATATTAACCTATCTTAATATATTAACCTGAGTTCAAAGGCTGTTCTACAGGTCTAAGGACTTCAGAACCCAGGAAAAGAGTGAAGTTACTGCAATGTGTCTGAGCATGCAGTGAGACAAGGCTATTTCAAATCCATTCCTTCCTACGTATCTCCTCTAATGTTACCATAGCACAAGTTTCATCACTTCATTTCTGAGAATTCTGCAACAGTCTCCTACCTGGTCTTTCCGCTGACATCTTCTTCCTGCTCAGTATAGCACCCACTCTCACCAACAGAGTCATCTTTCTCCAGTACAACCATGATCACATCATTCCATAGCCCGGCCCTTTAATGAATTCCCTTTGAACTTCTGAACACAACACATGCCCATTTTCACAATATCTTATCCCTATCCAGCTCCTAATTTATCTCCTATCCAAGTTGACACTCACACACACATACAGAGACACAAGCATGCTTAATGCTTCGAAAATATTTTCAGTTCCCCAAATGCAGCTCTTTCATCTTTCCATGCTTTTGATCATGCTCTTCCATTTGCTTAAATGCCCCCTTTCCCTTCATCTGTCTGGCAAATATTTCCTTTAAGAGAGAATTCAAAAGTTCTATGGCAGTTTCAAAATCCCAATAACATTTTTTTGCAGAAATAGAAAAATCTATACCAAAATTCATAAGGAATCTCAAGGGACTCTGAAAAGCCAAAACAATTTTGAAAAATAACGAAGTTGGAAGTCTCACTCTTCCTGATTTCAAAACTTAAAGACTGGCATAAAAACAGATATATAGACCAATAGAATAGAATAGATATCCCAAAAATAAACCCTTACATAAATGTTCAAATGATTTTTGATAAGTGTGCCAAATCGTTTAATGGGGAAAAGACTATCTTTTCAGCAAATAGTGTTAGGAAACTGGATATCCACATACAAAAGAATGAACTTGGACCCTTACTTTATACCATATTTAAAAAGACCTAAATATAACTGCTAAAATTTTTTACAAAACTCTTAGAAGAAAACATAGAAATAAAGCTTCCTGACATTGGATTTGACAGTAGTTTCTTGGATATGACACCAAAAACCCAGACAACAAAAGTAAAAAAAAATAGCTAAATGGAACTTCATTAAAATTAAAAACTTCTATGCATCAAATATCACAAGAGAGTGAAAAGGAAACCCAAAGAATGGAAGAAAATATGTACAAATCATTATCTAATAAGGGGTTATTATCTGGAATCCTATATATCCTAATTCCTAATATCAGAACTCCTACAACTCAACAACAAAAACAAACAACCCAATTTAAAAACGGACGAAGGACTTGAAAAGATATTGCTTGAGTGATATAAGAATAACCAATATGCACAATAAAAGATGCTCAATATCATTAAGCATTAAGGAAATGCAAATCAAAACCACAATGAGATACTACCTCATACCCATTAGTAAGACTACCATCAAAAAATCAGAAAATAACAAGTATTGGAGAGGATATGGAGAAACCAGAACCCTTGTGCACTGGAAGGTAAAATTGTGCAGCCACTATGGAAAACAGTAAGGCAGTTCCTCAAAAAAGTTAAAATAGAATTATTACATGACCCAGCAATTCCACTTCTGGGTCAACTCAAAAGAATTGAAAGCAGACACTTGAACAGAATTTGTACACCAATGTTCAGAGCTGCATTATTCACAGTAGCCAAAAGGTGGAAGTAACCCAAATGTCCATCCATGGATGAATGAATAAACAAAATGTGGTATATACATGCAATGGAATACTACTCACAGCCTTAAAAAGGAAGGAAATTCTGACACGTTATAACATGAATGAACCTTGAAGACATTAGGCTAAGTGAAATAAGCCAGTCATAAAAGACAAATATTGTGTAATTACACATATACAAAATACCTAGAGTAGTTAAATTCGTAGAGGCAGAAAGTAGAATAGTGGTTTTAAGAAACTAGGGGAAGAGAGGAAAAGAGAATTATCATACAGGGTGCAGGGTGCAAAGTTTCAGTTTTGCAAGATGAAAAGAGTTCTACAGATGGATGGTGGTGATGGTTGCACAATACTGTAAATGTACTTAATGCCACTGAACTGTGCATTTAAAAATAAGTTAAGATGATAAATTTTGTTATGTGTATTTCACCACAATTTTAAAAATCAGTAATAATAATAATAATAAAGTTTCAATGGGGTACAACAGTGAATTGTGAAGGTTTCTTCATTTAGAGAATCCTGCCATCAAATTTTGGTTTTAAATGAACAGGAATGCTAGCAGAGTTATCTTTTAGTGCTATTAAAATTAAAGTCAATAGAATTCTAATTCTATCACATTATGAATATGGCTTAATTTTAAGTAAAAGATGTTATCTCACTTATTTAAAAAATTGAATAGTAAATTAGTATAATCTATCACATTTATAGAATAACAGGTAAAACATATATCACATCAATAAATGCAAAATATATTTGTGTAAAATTTAATAAAAATTCATGATTTAAAAAAAAAACAAGAAGAAACCCAACAACTCAAAAAACTCAACTCAAAAACACAAATAACTTTAAAAAGTGGGCACACCTAACAGGTACAATGCATATTGTCAGGGTGATGGACACACATAACTTTGACTCAAACTGTATAAAAGCAATTCATGTAACCAAAATGTTTATACACCCATAATATTGTGAAATTAAAAAAAAAAGACCCAAAAAATGGGCAAAGGACATGAACAGATATTTTCAAAAGAAGCTATACGAATGGCCAAGAAGCATATGAAAAAAAATGTTCAGCATCACTAATCATCAGAGAAATGCAAATTAAGACCACATGAGATACCATCTTATACCAGTCAGAAAAAAGTCAAAAATAACAGATGTTGGAGAGGATGCAGAGAAAAGTGATCTCATACACTGTTGGTGGGAATATAAATTAGTACGACCTCTATGGAAAGCATATGGAGATTTCTCAAAGAATTAAAAATAGAACTATTCGATGCAGCAATACCACTACTGGGTATCTACCCAAAGGAAAAGAAGTCATTACATAAAAAAGATACCTGCACTCGTATGTTTATCACAGCACTATTCGCAATAGCAAAGACAGCGATTAACCTAAGTGTCTATCAATGGATGACTGGATAAAGAAAATGCGGTATATATATACATACACGCATGTGCATATACACATACCCCATGGAATACTATTTAGCCATAAAAAGAATGAAATCATGTCTTCTGTAGCAATATGGAAGGAACTGGAGGCCATTATTTTAAGTGAAACAACTCAAACACAGAAAGACAAATACTGCATGCTCTCACTTATAAGTGAGAGCTAAATACTGTGTACCCGTGTACAATAATAGACACTGGAGACTTGGAAGGGTGAGAAGGGGAGGGACGAGAAATTACTTAATGAGTACAATGTACACTATTTGGGTGATGGCTGCACTAAGGGCTCAGACTTCACCACTATGCAATATATCCATGTAACAAAACTGCACTTGTACCCTCTAAAATTATACAAATTTAAAAAATAAAGAAAGGTCTACACATTGAAGCTCCCCATGAATCCTCCAAAAGCCCTTCTTTGGCTACCGAAGTATCCAAATATTCTTCTAATATTGCACTTATGATATTGCAATTGGAATTATCAGTTCACACGTTTGTCTCCTAAAGTGGAGAGGCATCTTATAAATCTTTGTTACACAAGCCCCTGGCATGGTGCCTGATGAAAGGAGGTTCTCAGTGAATGCCAGCTGACTGGATGGGTGGTGGGGGGATGAATGAAAGGTACAATGACAGATCTGAGGGTGAGCCACCTTGAAGACTAAAGGACAACAGGGTTGACAGTGGCTCTGCATGGGGCACCAAGCAGAGCACTTCCCCAAGACCATGAGACACATGCAAGACAGAGCCTTAGGTGACACAGAAACTCTTCCTGCAAGTCTCCCTGTCACAGGTGCCAGTGGAGAGGGTGGCAGGAGCCAGGAGCAGGAGAACCAGGCACAAAAAAGTCAGGCCAAGGCAGAGGAAAAATGACATCTGGATGGCCCATCCTAAAGAGTAGCCTTCTTGGAAGACACTCCATGGTCCACATGGGACAAGGCGGGGTCAGCACAGCTCTTCTGTAAAGGGCTGAGAGTAAACAGCTTAGTCTTTGAGAGCCTGAGAGTCTCTGTCACAGCTACTCAACTTTGCCATTGTGTTACAAGAGCAGCCATTGGTAATACATCAGTGAATAAGTGTGGCTGTGCTACAACAACATTTTATTTACAAAAATAGGTTTTGGTCCTAATTTGGCCCACAGGCCATAGTTTGCAGACCCCTTGCCTAGATCCTAACTGCTCAAAATATGGCATGAGGACCAGCATCACTGACATTACTTGGGAGCTTCTTAGATCTGCATAATTTTGATCACCATCCCAGACCTACTGAAGCAAAATCTTATTTTACAAGATGCCCAGTACAGTTTGAGAGGTTCTGCTCTACATAATCCCCTTCAGCCTGAGCACCATGACACCACAACAGAGGCCCAGGGGACTTTCACTTAGCGCCCTCTTTATAAATCTGATCTTGGCCAGAGGGCTATTCCTCACTGACCCTGTCACACAGCTCAGTTCTCCAAGCGGTTACAGAGAACCTTAGTGTGGACTCCAAGCCAGAGGACAGGAATTGGCAGAGGAGAGTCTGTTCAGGGTATTCGTCAATGAGACAAGGTCTGTAGAAGTCAGAGAAGTGATGAACCCCAGAGCCAAACTCTACTCCCAAATCCTTCTTGGGCCCTCCCTTAACAGGGATGAACCAGCTCCAGGTAACTCTGGACACCTTCCACTGGCAGTTCACCCTGTAATTAAAACATTTCTGCATCTCCTGCCAACATAAAGGTAAAGAGAATGAAGCACTCATTCACTCCTAAGTACAACTTTGTACTCTGTTCCTCAAGGAAGCCCTTCACCACTGGTTAGATCCTAGAAGAGTGGTTCTCAATCCAAGGCGGTTTTGCCCGCAGGGAACGTTTGACAACGTCTAGAGACATTTTTGGTTGTCACAACTATAGTGGGGCATGACACTGGCATCTAGTGGGCAGGGGCCAGGGATGCTGTTAAACATCCTACAGTGCACAGGACAGGCTCCCACCACAAAGAACTATCTGACGCAAAGTGTCAATAGTGCCAAGGTTAAGAAACATGTTCTAGAACAAACATCACCACTTCATTAACCAGCCTAAGCAATTCTCAGTGTCCAAGAACCTCATGTGTATCCCCAACACAGTCAGAAAGGTGTCAGAAAGAGGGGCTGCTTCCCAGCGCCTTGATCAGGGCAGCACAGGTCCAAGTCCTGGGCGAACAACTCAATATTGCCAGTGGCCAGAAGTGACCAAGCTCTGGCATAATGACTCACAGCAACCCGGCGCTTAAGAGAGCACATCGTCAACCAATGCTGGCTTATTAATTTGTAGCTAGAGAACCACCTGGCACAAGACTATATTGTGTCCTCTAAATATGTCGATCCTAGGGATTATGTTGGTAAGGACAGAATTATGACTAAGGGGCTGTGTATTTTCAAAGCCAGGCTTTTCTCTCAGTGATAACCCATTGTACTAACCTCATGGCATTCCAGAGAAAAATCATTTCTAGAGAACACTCTAGGGCCAGTCAGCCAGCATCACAGTACACTTTCTTTGGACAGCACCTACCAGTTCTTGAAAATCTTACTCTCCAACAGCTTTCTTTCATCCGTGGCCCAAAGCTCCTTCACCTAATTACTGACAAACCACATCATGATTGAAAGGAGACAGCTTATTTCTAACACCTACATCCCGGATTCTTGTCTTCCTGCCCACCTGCTGGTCTCTTGATGAAGATGGCAATAAACCCTACCTTGTGAGCACCATTTCTTAGACTGAAGGCTAATTGCAGGCATTTTAAGTTTTTTTCCAGTGGCTTCCATTTTGGAGGTACCCTTGCTGCAAATTTATATTTTCTGGAACCTTGAGTCCACCCATTTAAATTGAGTGCAATTGCTGAATGGCCAAGTGTAATATGAAATGTACCTGGTGATAGTACATTTCATCTTATATTTTAGTAGCAGCAGTGAGTGTCCCCTTGTATGTGAGCACCCATACAGGTGACTATCTCATTACATAATGCTCAGAGGGTGGTGATCTCATTATTGCTTTAGCTACCTGGGGAGAGCTGTGCCATCAGAAGCAGAGAAGTTTCTGGGAAGAACGGTTCATCCCTGATGATGTTGGTATCAGCCAGTAGAGGTTCTAAAACTTGGTTGGCTCCAGTTGGCTTCTCTGACTCTGAAAGAAAAAAGAAGTGGCACAAAAACCGTCATATACCTGGGAGATCACATCATGCTTTAGGTCTGGTGTCATCATGAACCCAACAGAGAAGGCTTGAGTGTGTCCGGATTCTTGGAGGGATGAATAGTATCCCCTGAGAGGAGAAAGCCTAGTGCCAGAGTTTAATCTGGAATTTGGACTAGACAGCTAGAGAAACCAGCCTCCCAAGGTCATAGCAGAAAGGAAACAAGGGGTAAAAGATCAAAGATACATGCTTCCTCTCCTCTCTCGTCAGCCAAAACCCACAAAACAGCTAGACCAGGACATGCCCGTCTAGCCCCTCATCAGTGCAGTTTGCAGTCCAGCCTCTCTGGAACAGGAAGGGAGGGAATTCAGTTCTCAGATAGCAATGCCCAGGTGGGCCATGAAACAAAGTCTCAGACAGCTCTGTGTGGCACTAAAAACCTGTCAGTGCTGATATGTGGATTCCCGCAGCCTGTGCCTTCCATGCAGAAGTGTCAAGGCCTCTGCTCAGCCCAGCTAAGGAAGCTCCACTCTGTTGCCAGCTTCACTGAGGCGTGTGTAGGAAGAATACAATCAGTCACCAAGCCCCAAGCATTGAGCCGTCCCTCCACACATGTGCACACTCGTTCATTTGTCATCACTGCACCCTGCCAACTCCTGCAGCATCTGACTTCTGCTCACTGACGGCTTTGTAGAGACTTATCTCAGCTGCTTCGGCCCCACAAAGGATTTGTGGCACCTTCCTATCTCCATTTTACATGTCAAGAAATTAGGGGCAAAAAGGAAAAGGAAACTTGACACACGGTATCAGCAGCTCCCTACAGACTCACGTACCAAAGTGCAGAAGCAGGTCTTAGAGGCCCGTTGACCCTGCCCTCTACACTCATAAAAACCATCAGGGACTGAGCCCAGAGCAGGCACATGGAGTTGGAGAGGCAAAGGCTCAAATGGAAAACCAGTCCTCACATCACAGGTTGGGGAGAGGATATAAGTGGCCCCAGAGAAGTGACTGAGCAGACAGATATCCGATTTTTTCTATAGGGCTGATAAGCACCTGTGGATGACACATCCAACATACTAGCCTGCAGCCACTTGGCTACCATTGCTTCAACTATCTTCTCTAAAACACAGCAGCAAATCATTTCCAGGGACACATCCTGTCCCGGACCTTGTCGTCACATGGAAAGGCTTCACCTCTGAGATCTGGGCTGCGAACTTCTTAAGGGCAGGGACCATATCTTAATTCTTCTCTTTGTTCCTAGATCCTCCCACAATAAGTGCAAAGAGCTAATGCTAAGGGACTGGATGAATGACTCACACTCAGAAACCCCACTCTCCAGTCAGAACCTCTATCCTATGTCTCCACACCTGAATCAAAGTAAACGTGCTGCCCTGTCTCTCTGAGGCTCTGGCTTCCACCCTCTCCATGCTCACCCAGTTTATCACTCTCCTCCTAGATTCATCTTCTCTGCATAGCCCGGCCACTGCAACTACACCACGTGCCCTCTCTCACCTGCTCCCACCAGGACCCTTCTGCTGCCCTCCCCCCACCCCCAGACCTAACCTCCAAACCACTCCAACCCCACACCTGCCTACTCTCCTACCCACAGAATAAGTGCTTCCTTAAAAAAAAAAAAATTATTTGTACTTGCATCATTGCAAATATTTGGTGTACAAACCCAATCAATCAAGGCCTGAGATGCTGCTAGGAAAATCTACATGTATGTCCCTGATAGCTCCCTTTCTCATTCCCCAGAGAAAATGTACCAAATCTCTATTTCTTTCCTCTAGCTCACTTCTCCATCCTTACCTCTCTTAATCTCCCCAGCCTCCCAGAGAAAACAGAGGCCACCCTACATAAACTCTATCTTCTCTCCCTTCCATCTCATTCTGACCCTCCTTCCTCCTGTTTCACCTGCGCTCTTGATCAAATCATTTCCTCCTTCTTCCTACAGGACATGGTTCCAGTAATGATTGATTCTTCTTTCACTTTCCCTTTTCTGACTGACCTCCATCTCTCTATGTAAATAGGTAGTCAGACAGATGGATAGATAGATAGATAGATAGGTAATACATATATAGAGAGATTACATATACATGTATAATTCTGTCTCTCAAACTTTCTCCCAGTCTTTCTTTCTCCTTACCTTCTCACCCCCATACATATGTATATTTGCATGTGTACAGAAACACACATCCATACACGAGTGCAAATGTGTATATATGTATGCACGTATGCGTGTATGATATGTGCATGTGTATCTATCTTTCTCTCTCAAATATTTTCTCATCCTTTCCCAATCACTCTCTCAATCTCTCTATGTTTTGATCTACTGGCCTTACCTACTCCTTGTCTATTGTAACTTACTGAATTACCCCCACCCTTAAACAATCTTCTCTTTGCTAATGCTCCCCTGTAGTTTCTTGTCACTCATTGTCCTTCCCTTCACAGCCAAGTATCTTCACAGAAACTTGCACTTCCTCTTTCCATTTCTCCCATCATCCATCTTTGGCCTGAAAAATTTGGCTTCATATCCAGCCTGTCTATCAAAGTATCGTTGGTGAGGTGGCCACAGTGAAACAATCAGGTCTAGGCTTCTAGCAACCATTTCAGGATAAAGACCTTGAGCTGCTGGCAGCCGAGGATCCCACACCTCTGCCTTCTGCATTTGTGGTGACCAGCACAGGGCCTGGCACATAAGTGCTTTCAAACAAACTCTGTCACAGTGATCAAGAGTCAAGGTGTGTGAGGCTAAGATTGCCAGACACATGCTTGAAAACAGAATGAACAGTTTCTGAACCATTACTGACATTGATATAA